CTTGGGAGGCTGAGGCAGGAGAATCACTTAAACCTAGGAGGCAAAGGTTGCAGTGAACCAAGATCGCACCACTGCACTCCAGCCTTGGTGACAGAGTGAGACTCCATCTCAAAATAAAAATTAAAAAAAAATGTGTATATATTGTTCCCAAAGCTAATTTAATAAAGTCTGCTTATTTATATTATCTGGCTTTGACTTTAAAAGTCTAGAATTACAGAGAGGTATATTTCTTCCCACAGGGTGTATTAAAAAGCCCCAGGTGGGGCCCTGCTTGCATCAGGTGGGGTTTGAAGAGTCACACGAGATTTATAGGCTGACTGCAAAAGTGAACTTCATGGTGTACTCTCATTTTCAGGATGTATGAAAGTGTGTTATGCGAAGGTATATCTCAGCCTGACACAGCCCAAGCATCTCAAACCCCTCTCTGTGTTTCAGGGCATAGGAAAAGGACTGCAAACATTTATTTTTTGTTTACTTCCTACTTTATATGTTTAGTTCCTACTTTATATAACACTTTGTAGGAAAAATTCAGTTTGATACTCTTTAGATTAAAATGTCCCATTTTGGGATGTAATTCAACTAAAGAGCTATGCATTGGAAAAGAAACTATCATCAGAGTAAACAGGCAACCAACAGAATGGGAAATTTTTGCAATCCCTCCATCTGACAAAGGGCTATTATCTACAAGGAACTTAAACAAATTTACAAGAAAAAAACAACCCCATCAAAAAGTGGGCAAAGGATATGAACAGATACTTCTCAAAAGAAGACGTTTATGCAGCCAACAAACATATAAAAAAGAAACTTACCATCACTGGCCATTTGAGAAATGCAAATCAAAACCACAAGATACCATCTCATACCAGTTAAAATGGCGATCATTAAAAAGTCAGGCAACAACAGATGCTGGAGAAGATGTGGAGAATTAGGAATACTTTTACACTGTTGGTGGTTGTACAAATTAGTTCAACCCTTGTGGAAGACAGTGTGGCAATTCCTCAAGGATCTAGAACTAGCAATACCATTTGACCCAGCAATCCCATTACTGGGTATATATTCAAAGGATTATAAATCATTCTACCATAAAGACACATGCACATGTATGTTTATTGCAGCACTATTCACAATAGCAAGGTCTTGGAGCCAACCCAAACACTCATCAATGATAGACTGGATAAAGAAAATGTGGCACATGTACACCATGGAATGCTATGCAGTCATAAAAAAGGATGCATTCATGTTCTTTGCAGGGAGCTGGATGAAGCTGGAAACTGTCATTCTCAGCAAACTAACACAGGAACAGAAAATGAAACACCGCATGTTCTCACTCATAAGTGGGAGTTGAACAGTGAGACCACATGGACACAGGGAGGGAGACATTACACACTGGAGCCTGTTGGGGGTTGGGTGGCTAGGGGAGGGATAGCATTGGGAGAAATAACTAATGTAGATGACGGGTTGATGGGTTCAGCAAACCACCACGGCACGTGTATACCTACATAACAAACCTGCATGTTCTACACATGTATCCCAGAACTTGTAATAAAAAAAAAGTAATGACAAAGTTAAAAGACAGCAAGACAAGTCCCCTAGAAACGAAATAAACCCATTTAGAAGACAAAATAAAAAGTCCCATTTCTGGAAGAATTTCCCCTTTATAGAAAGGGGGGCTGTTTATGAACTCTCACTAGGTTAAATATACTGTTTGCTCTGATAACCCAAACAGGACCATGTGGTAGGAGCTTCATTCCTTCAACACGTTGGGGACACGGGTCCTAAAACACTGGAACAGCAATTGCATCTCTGTGGATTAGGCATGTTAATAAATGGGGGAAGGAGAAGGGTGTCATTTTTTCCCAGATGCAGGAGTTGGGGAGAAGAGGCACTGGCATTTATTAGATGTAGTGTGTAACAGAATCTTTGCTATATGCATCACATGCATTTTCTCATTGACCACTGAAAGCAGTCCCATGAGAAAAGAATTGTTATTCTTATTCCATGGAAGAGGAAACCAAGGCTTAGGTTGTTGGCAAGGGACACAAAGCTGGCAAGGAATCAGAGCTGTGTGCCTGCTCATTGTGTTCCATCGTCCCTTGCTGGGCAGTTGGGGAATACAGAATATCAATCCTGTTGCATAGAAGCTTCTAGCAGCCTTCCAAGGTTTCCAAAGGACCATTTCTTATCTCCTGTTTCAGGAGGGAAGATTCTTGAACCCCTGCAAAGCAAACACTGCAGCTAGCCTACTGCCTGATTATAAGCCCAGCACACTTCCCATGGTTCTTCTCTAAGAATCAGGGTGTGCTGTAATAAAGGGCCTTGTACCTACTGGACTCATAAAGATTTGCTGGAAGAATAAAGTTATTCACCAGCTGATAACACTCTGTTCATGAGTAAACTTTGGGCAAAATCAAAATCACATGGAGGCCCAGGGGCACCAGCTCTTCCAAACAAATATCTTTTTCTAAGGAGTTGTGGTGTTGAGTATTTTCTCCCATGTTGTACACAAAGGAAACTACCCAGTGTTCCTTTGGCTATATAGTGATAAGCATTTTTATGAGGAGGTAGGATCTTCTCAGTGGGAAACAGGGAGCTAGCCTTTCCTTTGTTGTCTATCACAGCAAGTGAGTCGATCACCACCCCCCACCCCTACCCCGTAGAATCCCCTCATGACTGGGGTATTCCAGGCAGAACTGCACAACCCCATCAGAGATTACCCTGAACACAACCATTTGTAGCTTGTAATTGTATTGCAGAGGGAAGGATTGGTCCTTTAGTGAAACCAAGCCACCACCATATTGAGAGAGAATACTTTCTTTTTAAAAAAATATTTATGTAGGATATCTGTCGCTCAGCCAGGAGTGCAGTGGCACTATCACAGCTCACTGCAGTTTTAACTTCTCCAGGCTCAGGTGATCCTCCCACCTAGTCCTCCTGAGTAGCTGGGAGTACAGGCACACACCACTATCTCAGGCTAATTTTTGTATATTTTTGTAGAGACAGGGTCTTGCTATGTTGCCCAGGCTGGTCTTAAACTCTTGGCCTCAAGCGATCTGCCTGCCTCGGCCTCCCAAAGTGCTGGGATTATAGGAGTTAGCCACCGCACCTGGCCAACTATCTCTTACTAAAAAAATTCTACTTTCATCTCTGTCACAAAATATGCATGCAACTATTCATAATGGCACTGTATTTTCACCTTGTAATCCCATTGGGTAACATGAACGAATGGATTATTTTCCTCAAGCCTCACTTTTCATTCTTGGTGTATAAAGTTTTGAAAACAATAACCCAGCTAGGCACAGTGGCTCACGCCTGTAATCTCAGCACTTTGTGGAGGTGAAGCAGGGCATCGCTTGAGGCCAGGAGTTCAAGACAAGCTTGGGCAGCATATTGAGACCCCATTTCTAAAAAAAAATTGAAAAATTAGCTGGGAATGGTAGTGTGTGCCTGTAGTCCCACCTACTCAGGAGGCTGAGGTGGGAGGACCGCTTGAGCCCAGTAGGAAGAAGCTGCAGTGACCTGAGATTGTGCCACTGCAACCCCAACCTGGGTGACAGAGCGACATGATGTCTCAAAACAAACAAAAAAAGCTGTAAAATCTGATTCAACTGACCATATCTCTGCCTTTCCACACCCATCCAAGCAAGTAAGATAAAAGGACAGATAACAGGAAGAAAAAGGCAGGGGAGAAAAAATGAGGGAAGTGTTTATTGAGACTGAAATGGAACATTGTTCTCTTTTATGAGTTAACAGCATAGTGTGTTAAGAGGCTGATTACAAACTGACTCCAAAATAAGGATAACCTGCCCTCATGAACAGCTCTGCTAACTGTAGTGCCACTAGTTGGGGCAACCTAGTAAGGGATAGAACTATTCAGCCCAAGAGAAATTACTGATTCAACTTTATTTATATTTAGATTTATTTCCTATAAACAATACCAATATTTGCATTTTAAAATTCACATTGAATCATTATTTACGATTATGATGTTTACATAACAATTCAGTATCACTGTGTTGTAGATTTCCAATGTAGGTGGTCAATGCTGAGCACTTATTTACTCTTCTGCTATCTTTGGCACAATTTCTCGTTTCTTAAACATGAAAGCACAGGTTTAAGTTGGCTGCAGACACATGACTATTTTGGAGCTCTGTAAGTACAAGTTTATGTTAAGCATTATTTACAAGATGAGAACTGAAGCACAGACTTTAATAAACTTTCTTCATAAATTAGCAGAATGATAAGCAGAGGGTGTAATGAATAGGGCCAAGATTACTAGTTAGAGCAGTCCTCCCTGGAGGAGGAGACAAGTGTCATAGAATGGAACTATTTACCCCGAACCAGTGATACCAGTTTATGTTGTGGGATTTACTCTGCAAGAACCCAGGTTAGGGGCAGCTCTTTTTCTGCAATGTGGCTTGTTCAACCCATGGAATTTTTATTAAAATACAACTTAGTTGGTAGCTTGCCACTCTTATTTGGGCCCTGAAAACAGAAGTGCAAGGATGGCAAAGTACTGGCCTCTTTGAGTGTGAACGAACTTGGAAGAATAAAGCCTTCCAGTTGGATAAAATCACATCCAACCTTTTGTGAGTGACACCTTTGTATATAATATTATGCAGAGCTGATATGGATTTCCTCCAGGCAGCTCATATCTGGAAGTTGTATATGAATGGCTATGCTACCTCAGAGTATCACAATAATACATCTCCGCTTTAGGGCCGATATACAGATGTGAATTGATTGAACAACATGATTTCTCATTCTAGTGCTCCTGAGAAAGGAGTTCTGATAAGCCCCAAAGCAGACTTGGGTTGGAATTGTAGTTATTATTCAAGTACAAGGAGAACTCTTTATTTCACATTGACGGTTCAATTCTGATCTCAGTCTGGCAAATTATATGAAAATAATAAATACACACACACACACACACACACACACACACACACACACACACACACACACACACACACACACACACACACACACACACACACACATCTCTACGCTGAACACTGGGTTAACAGTTACCAGTGTCCCAATACAGTACATTGAAAAAAGAATCCTTCTCCTTTCCCTCCAAACCCTATGCCTGTCTTAAAAGTATTATTGCAGAACTGTGCTGGTCTGTTTTCTTTGAAATTGGCTGGAGATAAGTTGAAAATGGACATTTTGGCACATTAACTGGGAAGAAGTTGTTTAGATGCATTATAATTTATAAAAAAAGTGAGAGGTCAAAGGAAATCCATGCCAATAGAAAGCCTGAGTAAAAATTTGTAACCGATGACAAAATATTTTTTAAAAAACCCAAAACAGTTGTCTGTGCATGAGAAAGCATTTTCTCTTTCATATCCATTACCTAATTCTAACAGTTATTACTTTATATACTTCCAAACTTTGTCTCTTATAGAATTTCTAAAACCCAGATAATAGAGCTTTCCTTTTAATCAGTTTTCCTTCATCTTACCCCACCCCCAACTCCCAAAACTTGGAGAGCAAAGCCTGAATCCAAATATAGAAAATAATCTGGAGGTCTGTATATCAAATCAAATGTACACTTGGCCATTAGTGTTTCTCTTTTCCTTAACCAGTGTTTGAGATGACTCTCATGGAGATGTCCTTCCTTGTTTCCAGTCATCTACAGCCAGGGGCCCTAGAACTGTGAGGTCTGGGTGAATGAGATGGTATCAGACTTGTCTACTGCAAAGCCTCCATTGACATAGGACTTCTTGGTGTCTGAGTCTTCATTATCAAGGATTGTGGATTCCAAGGCAAAGGGGTTCACAATGTTGACTTCAGATGAAACATCCATCTGCTCCAGCTCCTTCTTGGAGAGCTTTTCCACGATGCCTGTCCCGAAAGCATCACCGAGGACATTGACCATGGTCCTGAACCGGTCCCTGGGGAGAGACAGGAGGAGTCAGACAGGAGGCCCAGATTTCATTTTCATTCATCATCAGAGAGATGGAAGGACTTGATGTGTTCAGTTTCAACTTAAGTAAATGCAGAAAGTGCTGTCCTCAATCTTCATTAAAATACAACTTAGTTTATTATTGTATTAAAATACAACTTAGACCGTAGGCTCCTCACAGGCTTGGGGTTGTTCATAAAGGCACAGCATGAGCTCCCCAAAAGTAACAAATGACTCCCCTAAGTCTCCCTAAATTCCCTCCTCTTCTCCCAAAGAAACATGAATAGAGTTGTTCCAGATATTTTGGGGGGACTGAGAGAGGTTCAGAATTCAGTACGTTTTTCAGTTCTAACCTCTCTGTCTTGTGGTTTTCTAGATCCCAAATGCCACTGTGGGAAATTATTGGGCTAAGGTCAGAGAACTTGGGTGTTTTGTGGGTGGTATATGTACCAAGTGCATGTGGGGTATGTGTGTGTTTGTTCATGTCTATGGTGTACTTGTTTATTTACCAATTTAGGTCACTCTACTTATGAGCAAACCAGTAGGCATGGCACAGAGAACAGGGTCAGAAAACACAGGTCAGCCCAGGAATGGATTTCTCCATGAGTCACCCTTATCCAGTCTTAACTCCCAGATGGCCTGGAGAAGAGGACAGTGGCAGGAAGACAGGCAGAGAAGGCACACTGCAGAGGGGAGAATCCAGTTTGATACTGGTGCTTTGTTGATAGGAACAGCATGCAGGGGGAATCTTGTGAAAACTACACCTGCAGAATAGAAAAGGCTGACAGTGCTTACCCACGGCCACCCTGGATGCCCTTCTCTTATTTACAACAAGGCCAGGGATTGAACTGGCCCTAGTGTCTTTTTATCCCATGCCTCTGATTGGACCTTTGACTCATCTGGGTATCTTGGCAATGAAGGTAACTGGTTCCAAGAAGACTCAGGGAAAGGGGAAAAATGCAAATCCATAATAATCACTAAAAAGAACCGTATCTTGCCTCAATGACAGGATATCTTTGCAAGAAGGGTGCCACCTCATTTGGGCCTATAGCCCAACTAGCTGCTGAAGGGGCGCCCCACGGCACAGCTTCCAAGACAGGTGCAGGGGCTTTTGCTTTCTGAAATGTGAATCTGTGTTTTCAAGCCCACATAGGATGTCTCTGCTTCCCTTTCCATCTCATCTGCCACCTGCAAACTACAGTATATAGCACTGGATTCCCCAGTGAGCCTGAGCTGGTTCTGAGCAAAGGCTCTATGTGGAGTGACACTTACCTACAATGCCAGCAGACAGACCCAGACCTAGATGCTGCAAGATCCATGCATAGGAGTGGGCATCAAGGGTAAAGGAGCCAGGCTGGTTCTAACTTTAACCTTGAGGGTAGCTGAAGGTACGTTCTCACCCAGATGTATTCTCTGTGTGTGTGTGGGTGTGCGTGTGTGTGTATGATGTATGTGTGTATATGAGAGACAGAGACAGAGAGAAGTGTTGTTGATTAGGGCCTGAACAGTCCAACTCATTCTAATCATTAACAAAAGAACTTGCCATTTATTGAGCACATATGGGCTGCCAGACAGTGTTCTAGACACTCCATTCACATGAACTCCCTCAGTCCTTAAAACAACCCAATGAGATAGGCAGGCTTTTCCCCATCTCACAGATCATGCAGCTGAGCCTCAGGTTAAGGAACTTGCTCGAGGTCAAGAAGCTGGTAAGACACTGGATGGAGATTCAAACCCAAGTTAGTCTTACTCAAGCCTTTCCTCGTGCCACTGTCGCTGATGGTTCAGAAGATGCTTAGGATAATGGACTGATTTTGAACTAGGTGGTTCTGAGCCCATGATGCTGAACCAAGGCTGTGGTAGGCCAGGATGGTCCCAGGGCCCTGCCTGGCTTCTTCAGCTTGTTCTTCTGTGTTTATCTTTGTCCCACACCCAGCTCCTAACCTTGAGCATTACCAGGTATAAGGAGCTAATGGATCTCACTGGCTTTTTAAAATCACTGCTCCACATTATGAGAAGTTAATTATTAATCACGTTATCAGATGCCCTGGTCAGAGGAAACTTAAAGCAGCAACAGGTGGCTCATTAGGCAATCTGAGGAGATAGTTGCAGAGTCCGCGAGGCTAGGAAACCCGTCTGCGCATCCGGCTGAGGCAGTGCATTTATTCCAACTCACAGGAGCCAGTCGACAGCGATGATCAGGGTGACATCCTCGGCGGGCAGGCCCACGGCACTCAGCACAATCACCATGGTCACCAGGCCGGCCTGGGGCACGCCAGCAGCCCCGATGCTGGCAGCTGTGGCTGTGATACTGCAGAAACAAACCAGCAGGAAAGGAGTTAGACATATACCTCTCCCGTTAAAGCCTCTGGCCTGAAATGGTTAGTCCCGCTTAGTCCTGATGGCTATTACTGCTGTGCCCCTAAATTGGGCAGTCAGAATCTGTGACCTGCTGAGTCCCAGCTCTGCCTCATTACAGGATGAGAGCTGTGGGATGGGGCTGGGAGGGGCATAATGCCATCTCCTTGCAGAGGGAGCTATAGCACACCACTCTAATGTAAGGAAGAACTGCATAAGTGGCACCACAAAAAATGAGCAAGATAGATTTTCAAGAGGAAGGCAGGAGTTTACTAAATGAGGTATTAAGAGAAGGCTTTGTCTACTTATCTATGTATATATACACTCATCCTAATTAAGTGCCAAGTACCTCTGCACCTGCCTTCCTACTCCCTTCTTCCATCTACTCAGCAGCTAATAATTTATTGAGCACCTAATATATGACAGATATTTAAGTTGCCCTGAAGGATGGACAGAGGGATAGTGGTAGGGGCGGATGGGCAATGGCATTTCAGGTGAAGGCAAAGGAATGAGACAATGGTTAAGCAGGCTTTATGCACTCTCTTGACATCCCAGGACTCTACCTCTGGGAAATGCTCTTTAGGGCACTGAATTGAGAAATAGCTGACTCCTGTCCAAGGTACAAGCATTTAATCCTGACTGAGATGCACTTTGTGTGAAAGAAAAATCTGGAATCCAGGAGAGGCAGCCAGATGAACTTTATTACCAGGTATTTAAAAAGATCCCACTTGATAAGATCAGGTGAGGCAGTAGAAATTTTTGTTTGTAATGTGCAGTTTCTTTTTATCAGCAACATCTTCCTTATTTTAACTGTATCATTCTGAAGGAAACAAGGACTCACCATGCCCTGAAAAGTCCCTGGACTTGGATAAGCTTGAGGCCACACCCATGATACTTTCTAGGGACAAGTCCTTGCCCTTGGGCCAAGGCCTCAACTGCTGCTCAGGTGCCACTGGGTTAAAAGGTGAAAATATAAAAATTGCCAATTTAAATGGGAAGAATCTCTGATTCTATCCACAAATCCATATTCTTTGGGGCTAAGAAAGTCTTAGAGTTCTTAGGAAGCTGATTCTTCTGCCCATTCTTCTGCCTACTGAGGTGTTGCAGAAAGCATTTGAGGGTACAAACACAGGCCAGAGTTCTTTGACAAGTGTGTTTTCATTCAGTGGTTTGACAACCAAATTATAGTAAATTAGAGATTTGTGTACCAATCACTCTAAAGGTTTCTGGCCTCTATAACCCTGCAGATCTCTTCTGACCTAAGTCCTCTTTGGAAGGCCCAAGTTTATTTTAATGCTGGTTAAAAAAAATTTAAATGGAATGCATCAACAGGTTTTCTTTGTCAGCAGTGATTTGTGTCCATGCCAACAGATTCCTCTTAGAAACCCTGACGTGTCATAGTTAACCATGTCTCTATAGCCTGAGGCTGGGCTTGAAACTCAAAATTCATTTAGTCAAAGAAAACTCTGTCTTTGAGCCTTGATCTTGCTTGCTAGGCTATGGCCATCTGACTGGCGTTGGTCTGGAACTCAGAACTATAAACCTTTAGATGGGAGAAAATAATATAAAAAGCTATTCCTGCTGCTCGAACATATTCTACTTTGAGTTAGAGGATTTTTACAGACCTATCAGTGGTACAAAGTTGTTTCCCCACATTGAGGCCTAGTTTTAGGACAGACCATTGAACTCGGCTCTCTCAATGGGTTGAAGGATGGGTTGTAAATTGGAGGGAATACAGGTTTTAGTGTCAGACACACCGGGGTGATATACTTTGGCCTCTATGGTTTTACTGATGGCATTTCTTTAGGCAAGTTACTTCTCTGAATCTCAATTCCTTGCCTGTAAGACGGGGACATCATGTCTACTGCAAGCTGCTGTGCAGATTAAATGAGGTTTATACACATAAGGCATCTGGTGTAGCACCTGTATAGTAGATGCTTAAAAACATGCCATTTCCACGTGTATACTTGTAACAAACCTGTACATTCTGCACATGTATCCCAGAGCTTAAAGTAAAATAAAACAAAAAACAAAAAAAGATTGAAAACATGCCATTTCTGCTGCTGCTTCTGAAATAACAGCAGTGGCTGCTAGTGTTTCTTATACTGCTACTGTCGCCGCCGCCGCTGGTATTATTACTACTGCTACTGCAGCAACCAAAACAACTATTACAACAACAACTACTGCTATTACTACTGCTACTTTTTTCTGTCAGCTCTTCCCAGGCCCCAAATCTTATAATTATCTTTCTTCTTTATGATTTTTTTTTTCCATAGACAAGGTCTCACTCTGTTACCCAGGCTGGAGTACAGTGGCATGATCACAGCTCACTGCAGCCTCTACCTACTGGACTCAAGCAATCTTCTTGCCTCAGCCTCCTTAGTAGTTGGGACCACAGGTGTGCTCCAAAATGCCTGGTTAATTTTTATATTTTTTGTAGAGAAAATATAAAAATATTTTTATTTTTTATAAATAACTGTTTATTTTTTATAAATAAACACTGAGCGTGTTGCTCAGGCTGGTCTCAAACTCCTGGGCTCAAGTGATCTGCCTGCCTTGGCCTCCCAAAGTGCTGGTAGTGAGCCACTGAGCCCTGCTGTATAATTAGCTTTACTTTTCTTTTTCTTTTTTTTTGCCTAGACTAGAGTGCAGTTGTGCCATCTCAGTTCACTGCAACCTCTGCCTCCTGGGCTCAAGTAATCCACCCACTTCAGCCTTCTCCTGAGTAGCTGAAACTACAGACATGGGCCACCATGACTGGCAAATTTTTCTCTTTTAGAATATTTTTGGTAAACATGGGGTTTTATCATGTTGCCCAGGCTGGTCTCGAACTCCAGACTCAAGCGATTCACCCACTTAAGTCTCACAAAGTGCTGGGATTACAGGTGTGAGCTACTGCTCCTGGCCCTAATTATCTTTATGAGACAATTAATCCAATTTCTTTTTGACATGTATACTCACATCAATTTTCAATCAGTTATAGCCTTTGAGTATTATGATAAAGCCACAAAAGGGCATGTTTTGGGTAGATGGTAGCTATGTTTCTTTGATGTCTAGTCCACAGAAATATACTTTGGGCCTAAAAACTATTAGCCATATGAACTATAACTGTAACTCTCAAGTAAAACTAACTTTTATTATTTCCCAAGTAGAACCAGTGACGATTTTTAATTTTAAGCCAATGATTACTTTGGGTCTCACAGTTGTTACTGGTTCTGGGCCGGTAGTTACCAGCAAATCTGATTTAAGAATATACCGGAGAGTAGGGGGAGAGCCTTTAATGTGAATTGACTATTTAGCCTCTAGACCCAGGGTTGATTCCTCTGGCAGTCACGTTAAAAAAATGATTAGAAAGGTTTAGAAAACTTATAACTAAAAAAGAGGGAGGGATTTCATTATAAAGTGGCAAATACACAAAAGAATTGGCACCTCATACAGCCACTCCTTGGAAATCAGTTCAGTGGAGACTGGGTTCCACAGGCCAGGGTTAGGGAAGTGGGAAAAAACCCTTGGAAATGTAAAAGTAACAACTGTTGGAAGAACAGGGGTGGTTATGGACCAGAAACTTTCTCAGGCATGATTCCAGATTTCAATTTTAACATACTCTCTGCTGTTATAATTACAGGACTTTACTCAATCTCTTTGGCATGGACTTTTTATAGATTACATGGCATTGGGATAGTTCCCCAGCTGGTGTGCCAAATGGTGTATTTTGCACTTGTCTTTAGCCAACAGAAATACTTTGTGATTTAGGGGCAGGGAGGATTTTAAAAATGCATTGTATTAGAACATTGTTAGTTAACAAACTCTGACTTTATGCCTAGAATTTATGTCTAGGCTGGAAACACAAGAATGAATTGACTTTAAAAGTTCAGATTCAACCTTGAGCAGGCCTGGGGACCCAGTTTAGTCTTTAAGTTGCATTCTAAACTGAACAAAAGTCTCCAGGTTAACTCTAATCCCAGCCTATCACTCTAACACAGCACTGTCCAAAATACCTTTCTGCAATGACGAAACTATTCTGTCTGCGCTATCTAATTCAGTGGGCCACATGGCTAGTGGTTACCATACTGTACAGTGCTGTCGTAGAGAAACAACTCTGGCAAAATTCACTAATGACAGTTCTGCCATCTACTTGGGCAGACAATTTCTGTCCTTATTTCATGAAAATTATCTGCAGCATCTGACTCTGTGGACCATTTCACCCTTGAAAATCTCTCTTTTCTGCGTTTCCATGATACCAAGGTTTACTGGCTCCCCTCCCATCTCTCCATCTTCCTTTCCCTCTCCCTCTTGGATTTTCCCTTCTCTATCTGCTTCTAATATTAGGATTTTCCAAGCCTCAGTCCTTAATCTCCTTCTCTTCTCTACAAACTCTCCCTACATCATGCCATGCATACCAGGATATAGTTGTATTTAATCTTGGAAAGGGACTTCGTAGATCAAGAAAAAGAATCCATCACTGGGATATTCTTGGTGTCCCTTCACAAACCATTTTTAGTGGAGGTAATCTCTACATCACCAGTGACAATGAATGTAACACCACACCCCACCTGATGGTGATGATCTGCCCAATGCCCAAGTCCAGATCATTCAACTGTGCAATAAACACCGCTGCCACTGCCTCATAGAGCGCCGTCCCATCCATGTTGATTGTAGCACCAACGGGTAACACGAATCGAGTGATCCTCTTGTCCACTTGGTTCTTTTCTTCAGCACAGCGGAAGGTGACAGGCAGTGTTGCCGAGCTGTGTGATGAAAAGAGAAAGGAACTTATGGTCTAGAATGCCAGTCCTCAGTCCCCGCCTGAAGACATGCCTGTCTTCCAGAAAGGAAACAAAGGGTCCTTTTAGGTTATCTTGTTGAGAGAAGTAAAGAAAACTACAAAACAAAACAAAACAAAACAAAACAGGGTCCAAACCATGCTGGCCCTGTTGGCAGGTCCAGGAATCAGAAGGTGCTGCGTGCACCGCTGCTCGCAGTGACACCATAACCCTTCCCTGAGCTGCAGACCATGCTCAGAGGGCAGGAAATAAGCAACAGCGTGAAGCAATGTATTCAGGGCCATGGGCAGAGAATATGGCAGTCATTTCTCAAAGGCAGCTATAAAACCCGCAAACTGGAGTCTGTTTTGTGAAGTGAGGTGAGAGTTGATAATGTTAGGTCTGGAGTCTTCTTCCCAAAACCCCTTGTCTGTTTACCTGGAAGAGATCATGAGAGCTGTCAGGAGAGCCTGGGCCATTCCCATGGCAAATCGGAAAGGGTTCTTTCTTACGACTATGAAATATATCAGTGGGAGAATTACAATGGAGTGGATTGCAAGCCTGTAAACAAGAAAGATAAATTAAAGTTTCAAAGATAATACGACCTTCCCACACTTAATCCTTTTATCAAACAGCTTTTTAATTTATTAAACTGTTCGACTTTCATAATGGCCCAATGAGAAAATGGGAGTAGGGCAGGAATATACATCCCCATTCCACATATGAGAGTGTAGAGGCTCACTCAGCAAATGAAGCATCTTGTGAGAGTTAATGACAAACCTAGTAGCTGAATCCAAATTCGAGGCTTCACAGAACAGAGTTATGTCATGCTGCCACACCCCTGTGTGTGCTATTCCTGCCACATGCACAAAAATGCCCTTTATTTCCTCCTGCTGCTGCTGAATTCTTCTCCTCTAAGACTCAGCTAGGCATCCCCCTTCCTCCAGGAAGCCTTCCCTCACTTCCCCAGGTAGGGCTGAGGCTTCCCTCCTTGGCGTCCGCTGTGTCACTACTACATTATACCTCATTATACCCCTCATTACAGGGCTGAGTCCTTACCCCCTCCATCCCCTGTACCAAGCTGCTGTCTTGCTGGTGGGGCCCACTGCCCAAGAAGGAAGTCAGTTACAGTAAGGAAAGAAGTCTCAGCTCTTCCTCTTCATATTTTAGGATGGACTTTCTTTTCTTTATTATTCCTGCCTTCTCAAACTGTTCCTTGTTTCACATGGAAATACACAGGTCACATGAACTAGGGGGCTTAATATGAGACTCATTTGTCAGATGGATATATATGTAACTGGCAACTTAGAGTTTACAGATCAGTTATGTGTGTTTGAAATAATAGGAAATGGTCATCAAAAATATAGATCCTGGAGGTCTGGAGAGAGGATCTTCTTGAGAGACAGCTTGTAGCTAAAAACCATGAGGATTGACTTTTAGTTTTCTGTTAGACACCTAGCTGGGGTGAAAGAATAGAAACTGGCAGAACTCCTTTATGAAATGGCTCAGCTCATACACCCCGGCCACATCACTGCTAAGACACAATCCCTGGCACTGCCTGTTTCAACAGCCCTGCAGCAGGGTGGCCTCCAGTGAGGTGGAGGTCCTACCTCCCTTGGTACCATGGTCCTCACACTGTAGGGACCAAGGCTGCCTCTGTGTTGATCTGTGTTTCGGCAAACACAGATTAAGAACTAAATGCACTGTGCTGGAAATCCCCAGTGTGATCAAGTTCCAATAGATGAGTTGATTGCTCAAGTTGGGTGTTTGTAGATATTGACTTGTGGGGTCAAATCAATGATATTTACTTATTCCCTTGGTCTGTATTTCTTAGCATATGTGACATATTCTGTCCCTGGCTAGGTGTCCAGGGGCACCATTCATAACTTACTCACTGCATCTTTTCTCAAGGAAACAATAGCTAGGCTGCAATAAATGTGCAAACAACCCATTCCCTCTGCCTTCCTGTTTAATGGCTTCTAAAAAGGCCCATATAATTCCTCCCAGCCTTGAGATTCTCCTGGCACTGTCTCTGACATTCTGATGGTGTAGGCCATGGTGGTGGTTAACAGCCCCAGCAACAGTGTTGGAACCAACAGCCATCCTGCTCCTGCTTGCTCAAGTCTGATTTCATTTAGGCCCTTGCTAATTTCTTTCAGGTTCAGGGTACATGGAGGCTATTCTTACTTACTTAGCTAGTTTACATTCTTAAGGAAATGAATGCCAGGGGTGAGCCAAGAGAGGCTACAAGTGGGTTTCTCTATTATTTAAAAAAAGTTCTTTTAACATAACCAACAAAGGCAGTGACAAAGCCTGGTCCAGGCTGTTCTGCCAAGAGCTGACAATTAGCGCAGCGTGATCCACCTACAGTACAGCTGTCAAAGGGCAGCCCTCCTCTTCCTGCTCTTTTATCTCTGAACCCTATCTTTCCCAGCACATAGGAGAGAAGCCAGTTTTAACCAACTAAAACCCAGCGTCTCGGTGGCCATCCTATTGGATCAAAGGAGCTTTTTCTCTCTTCACTTGAGTCTGACATACCCAGTCAGGACTGTAGCCATGTAGAGGCCCAGCTTGCGGAATATTTCCCAGTCTTCAACTTCTATGATCTTCCCCGCAATCAGGAACAAAATACCTAGCGGCATGTAACTGGAAAGGAAGCACAACAGGGCGTGATTCCGTCATCAAGTGTCTTCTCATGCTGGGTTGGTGGGGAAGGAACATGCCAGCACGTGCACCCTTAGCTGGGCATGTACACCCCCAGCTAGGCATGAGCACAGGATGGAGAATTGAAGCTAAGAGCTGTTTCAAGTCCTGGGTGAACTATATTGCCCCTAGTTTTTAGTATCTGTGTGCACCTTAAATTCTTCCCATCCAAACTACCATAGGGTGGTTTGCAAACTTGGCAAGAGCATGTGGTTAGATGGGTGCACACCTTATGCCATGTTCTTAGTGCATATATATCCTGCTGATTGTCATATCTACAGATCTCACTTGAGCTTGATCCTTACTGCCAAATATGGCTCTTTCTAGTCATGGTCATCTCTTGTTTCCCAGGTATGGAGGCAATAGTATTAGTACTGGAAGTGGTCATAATAGCTGTATTTGTGGAGCTCTCATTACAACTTGCGTTAGGGAAAGTATTTTATGTGCATCATTTCATTTGATTTACTTCTCCTATCCCTGGGGGTAGGTTTTATTGTCCTTTTTAACAGATGATAAAGCTGAGGTTTCTGCAGTATTAAGTGCCCTGTCCGGCCATTTTTACTGAACCCTTTATGTCACTGTCAATGCCTACACTTTGGATTAAGTAATGTTGAATCAATTAAATATGAGGTAAGTGAGGCAGATGCCTCCTAAGAAAGGTGGGCTTTTTGGCATCTCCAGGAATAAGGCAGACATTTACACAGTGTCACTGATATACCCACAGATGGGCACGGGTTAGTGCCCATGCTGTACCAGTTATAAATATTTTGAAACTCACTTTTGCATGGGGCATAATAGGGAAAGCACTTTGTGTTCTTACGTACAATGAACTCCTTCAGATCATTTTTTAAAGAATTACTTCTTACGTGAAGGTTGGTTGGGTACAAGATGATCCCCCAAGGCTTTGAGGGAAAAGACAATGGTTGAAAGCTAGACTTTTGTTCATGAACTTACTCCTGGGTAATAATGTGAAATTATTTAATACTCAGGTGGTAGCTGGGTATGGTGGTTCATGCCTATAATCCCAGCACTTTGGGAGGATGAAGTGGGTGGATTGCTTGAGCCCAGGATTTTGAGATCAGCCTGGGCAACATGGCAAAGCCCTATCTCTACAAAAAATACAAAAAAATAGCTGGGCATAGTGGTGCATGCCTGTAGTACCAGCTACTCAGGAAGCTGAGATGGGAGGATGAATTGAACACAGGAAGTAGAGGCTGCAGTGAGTCGAGATTGCACCACTGCACTTCAGCCTGGGGTGACATAGTGAGACCCTGTCTCAAAAACAAAAACAAACAACAACAAAAGCCCCCACAAAATACTCTGGTGGCTCGATATTAAATGTCCAACTTCTCTAGCATGAGGTCACTGAGAAACATACACCTCTTCTTTCTAATTTTGAGGAGAGAGAATTGTCAGGGGAAGCAAAATGACAGTAAACAGTGTCTGCTCACCACATGATGATCTGAACGATTTTCATGGTTGCATCACTCAAAGCATTGAAGAAATCCACCAGAATCTGTCCCTTTTCTCCCATTTTTCCAATGACAAGTCCAAAGACAAGGCAAAAGACAATCAAGCCTAGGACATTTATGCCATCTGAATACATGCCAACGATTTTATATTCCTTTGTTTTGTTCTGTAGATCAAAATCAAGAAAACATATTGATGCATGATTATAATCTTGTTAGAAAGTACAGGTCCCGAAATGAGAAGATACGATGACCAAACATAGTAAACTGGTGGTCTCCCACGCAGAGTCAACAAAACTTTAGAAAATATAAAAACAATAATAAAAACACCTATGCATGTAACAAACTTTACCCTTGCTCCCCAAAGTTAAAATGCTTTTCCTTCTCTCAACAAGTCCCTATTTGAATATTTCTTATAAAGATTTCTTATTCTGGAATGGTTTACATTTTTATTATGAATTTTAGAATCAAGGCACTTTTCAGGGTCATTTTAACTACTAGCTATATATGGAGTCTGCTTGAAAAAAGACAGGAATTAATAATGTAGGAAGTACAAAATATTTACCAGTGTGAACACTTTTAGGACATCTTACCATCTGTTTTACCCTGATAATGAAGCACAGTAACATTCTTTATGCCTATGGTCTTGGATGACCAATAGGATTTTTTTTTTTTTAGATGAAGTCTTGCTCTGTCACCCAGGCTGGAGTGCAGTGTCATGATCTCAGCTCACTGCAACCTCTGCCTCCCAGGTTCAAGCAATTCTCCTGCCTCAGCTGCTCGAGTAACTGGGATTACAGGTGCCCGTCACCATGCCTGGCCAATTTTTTGTATTTTTGGTAGAGGCAGGGTTTTGCCATGTTGGCCAGGCTAGTCGTGATCCACCCGCCTCAGCCTCCAAAAATGCTGGGATTACAGGTATGAGCCACTGCGCCCTGCCAGGATTTTTTTTTTTAACTTTTACATTCAGGGGTACGTGTGGTGCAGGATGTGAAGGTTTGTTACACAGGTAAATGTGTGTCATGGGGGTTTGTTGTACAGATTTATTTCATCACATAGGTATTAAGCCTAGTATCCATTAGCTATTTTTCCTGATCCTCTCCCTCCTCCTACCCTCCACCCTCCGAAAGGCCCCAGTGTGTGTTGTTCCCTTCTATGTGTTCTCATCATTTAGCTCCTGCTTATAAGTAAGAACAAGCAGTATTTGGTTTTCTGTTCCTATGTTAGCTGGCTGAGGATAATGGCCTCCAGCTCCATCCATGTCACTGCAAAGGACATGATCTTGTTCTTTTTTAATGGCAGCATAGTATTCCATTGTGCATATGTTCCACATTTTCTTTATCCAGTCTATCACTGGTATGATTTTGGACATATAAAAATTAATTTAAATACCTACTACTGTGATATGATCATAGCTCACTGTAGCCTCAAACTCCTCAAGGGAGGGCCCTGGTGATCCTCCTACCTCAACCTCCCAAGTAGCTGGGTCCACAGGTGCATGCCACCATGCCTGGCTTAATTTCTTCACTTTATCCTGGGTAAAAGCCTGAGATTTACAGAGAGACAGTTGAGTGGTGCCAACTAGGTTTATAAAGAATTATGTTAGCCAGGCACAGTGGCTCATGCCTATAATCCCAGCAGTTTGGAAAGCTAAGGCAGGTGGATCACCTGAGGTTAGGAGTTTGAGACCAGCCTGGCCAGCATGGTGAAACCCGGTCTCTACTAAAAATACAAAAATTAGCCAGGAATGGTGGCAGGTGCCTGTAATCCCAGCTGCTTGGGAGGCTGAGGCAGGAGAATTGCTTGAACCCAGAAGGTAGAGACTGCAGTGAGCCAAGACTATACCACTTCACTTCAGCCTGCGTGATAGAGTGATACTCCATTTCAAAAATAAAATAAAATTATGTTGAGGAGCCACTGGGCTACCAGTCATTTCTTACTTATGATCAAACATATATTTAGGGAAAAGCTAGAGCATTAGTGCACTGGCTACAGCATAAGGTCTTAGGATTCAGCTGGAGAAACAAGACTGTGAGAAGCATGAGCCAATCATAGCAGGATGATATGTAATTAATTATGCAGCCAAACTATGAGATATAAGCATCAAATGGAGAGTGGGACATGAATGAGGGTTTCAAGATTAGGGAAAGCTAGGGCTGAGGAGTCGGCAGCCAGGAGAAAAAGCATATTTCAGAAAAATGGCAAGCAAAGGCAAAAATCATCATGCATTGGGCCTCTGCACCCTGCTTGAATATAATTAGTGCTAATTCATCATGGTCCCCAGATTAATTTAATACCCCTTGCTGAATGCCCCCCAAACATCCCATTCTTCCTGATTATAATACTCATCATTCTTTGCGTGAGGACAGAGGCCTGACATCTGTCTTTTCACCGTTATAATCCCAGTGCCTAGCAGGTATGGAGGGTACTCAGAAAGTATTTGTGGAACAACATCAAAAGGCAGGAATAAGGAGTGATGGAGGCAGTGGATCTGGAAAGAAGAGAGGTGCCCACTAGAAGTAAGTCCTGAAAACTAGAGAGAAGCCAGGTCATGCAGGGGCTCTGAACCCAGCCAGAGGAGTTAGGGATTTCTGCAGTAGGAAGCAGGGAGCCAACCGTGGTTTATTGAATTTGATTTTTTTTTTTTTGAGATGGAGTTTTGCTTTTGTTACCCAGGCTGGAGTGCAATGGCGAGATCTTGGCTCACCGCAGCCTCCGCCTCCTGGGTTCAAGCAATTCTTCTGCCTCAGCCTCCCAAGTAGCTAGGACTACAGGCACGCACCACCATGCCCAGCTAATTTTTGTATTTTTAGAGATGGGGTTTCACCATGTTGACCAGGATGGCCTCTATCTCTTGACGTCGTGATCCACCCGCCTCGGCCTCCCAAAGTGCGGGGATTATAGGTGTGAGCCACCACGCCCGGCCTGAGTTTGAATTCTTAAGTCTAATGAATATTCCTTTTCTCCTTAAATCGTTCCTTTCTGTGTGAAGTTGAGAGAACATTCAGGAGAAGTTTATTATAAGCCTGCAAAGGTACCACTGCATGCCCAGACGGTCTGATCTCCAATTCTGAAATTGGAAAAGCTCTCAAAGCACATCGATTTTATTGATAAGTTTATACTAAACTCTTTTGGTAGCAAAACCTATCCTGAACTGACATGAGGCTCCTGGCTACTAAGGGTCCATTTCTCTCCCTGGGAGAATATTTATGAGTTTATTACAAAAACATTGATGTGCTTGATTCTGGCATGTTGTTGCCCATCCTACTTGCAAAGGTTGCATCATATGCAATACATACACCAGATGGCCTTTCTAAAGTCTGAGAAACTCTAAACTCCAAATCATATTTGGGCAGAGAGAGTCGGACTAGGAATTGTGGACCCTCATTGCATGCTAATATACCTGGCAAATCTACAGCAGTTCCTAGAGATGCCCAGCTCTACTGTAAGCAGACACAAAGAGGTAGAAGAAACAGGGCTCATTTTTTCGCTCTTTATGGTTGATTCTCTCTATTCCAGGTAGTTATGTTCTATAAAGTCCCCATGAACACTGAATTAGCAAATACTGAACTGTTGCACCTGAGGGAAATGCAGGGTTAACTTTCTGGAAACCTTGGACATATCCTTTTCAGCAGTCAATATATAACGTTGTATGTGACAACTTGCTTCATATAGATTGTTGACTTATTAATATTGACCTCAGAGCCAACAGGCTATAATTCATGTCTGAATGAAGCTCGTCTAAAGCACAAATTTTCTCCCTAAGGCACATCACAGTCTCCTTGTGCTTAGCAACATTGGAGAGCACTTCAACATGATGATTTGGTCCTTCTTGTTTTTGAGACAAGAGTCTTGCTCTGTCACCCAGGCCAGAGTGCAGGGGTGCAGTCACAGCTCAAATGATCCTTCTGTCTCAGCCTCCCAAGTATCTGGGACTACAGGCATGCGCCACCACACCTGGCTAATATTAAAATGTTTTGTAGAGATAGGATCTCACTATATTTCCCAGGCTGGTCTCAAATTCCTGGCCTCAAATGATCCACCTGCCTTGTCCTCCCAAAGTGCTGGAATCACAGCTGTGAGACGCCATGCCCAGCCTGGTCCATCTGGTTCATTTTATTCTTTTTTTTGACACAGAGTCTCACTCTGCCACCCAGGCTGGAGTGCAGTCATTAATCATGGCTCACTTGACTTCCCTGGCACAAGTGATCCTCCCACTTCAGCCTCCCAAGTAGCTGGGACTATAGGTGTGCATCATCACACCTGCCTATTTTTCTATTTTTGTAGAAGTGAAGCATCATTATGTTGCCCAGACTGGTCTGGAACTCCCAGGCTCAAGCAATCCTCCTGCCTTGGCATCCCAACATGCTGGGATTATAGGCATGAGTCACTGAACTGAGCCCTGGTCCATTTTAAACAGAGAAATCAGCAAGAAAAAAAATCACAAAAATGCAAAAAATGTGACATGAACACACTGCAGAATGGACACTGTTTCCAGTATGAGAACCAAAGCAAGAAGGCAGAGCCCAGCCTCATTCAACCTCAGCTGGGAATGTGCCTGTCGGGTGACTCAAATATTTTGCCGCTCTTTGTGTGCCTGCAGATTACTGAAAGCCCTGTAAGGATGGGTTTTGGGATCAGAAAAAAATTTTAGCAAGTAGGTGAAATCACAAATGCAGATGTTATGAATGACGCGGATTGACTATATTTCCTGCTCAGTTATGACTCAGTGCCTGCCTCCTGGGGAAGAGCAACAGGAAACAAGAATGGTACCTTGGAAATAGCAGTTGTCATGACGGCTGTGAAGGACTGTTCTGTCATGTTCGTCTCTGGGTCGCTGGGAGGCTTCACTTCTTCACGCTTAGTTTTGTACTGCATGTTGGAGAAAATCAAGGACAAGCAAACAAAAAAAGAATTCTTTTAAGCTTTTGAGGCCAAAGCACAGGAACGTGTTATTTTGGCCAAACATGAGCCACTGAAGAGATCTACCTCCCATGCCTCTATTGGCTCCAGTTGTCAATGATACCTCCCAGCACATTTTGGAACTAAAAGCAGGACTGAGACATTTAAACCCCTGACTCACACAATCTCATTCAATTATGTCAAAATGTACCTTCACTTTCACAATAAGTGACAAGTTGATGGAGCAATAATACAAAAGAGAGTACCAGCTAGATCTGCAGGTGCTGTCAGAGACAGACTCTGTAAGGATTCCTGTCAATCATTTTTGTTTTTATTAATTCATAAATTATTTAATATTTATTTTAAATTAATAAATTATTTTAAATGTGAGCAAAAACACTTCATCACTTTGATAACATCACTACAACTTTGATAAGCGTCAAGAAAGGTTTAATGGTGGTTCCAAAATCCACAGTCCCCCTAGGGCTATTCAGCGAGTGAGACTTCTGTTGAATTCTCTTCTTTCAGCCCTGTTTGGTTCTGTGGAGCTTCCCCATGGGAGTTTAAGAAAGAGTGAGTATATTATTACACCAGGGATAAATGTCCCCCCACAAGGCTCTGCCAACACCGAGAACCTTACAAACAACCACTGTGACTGATTTGCAAGCCCCCTGCAATAGAGGAGGTTCTGTTCCTTGTGGAGGCCGGCAGGGAGCAACAGAATTGCCATTTTTCTTGGTATATACAGAAGTCTCTGTTCATGTAATTTATGTAAGTGAATACAGCACTTTGTGATGGACTCAGCTGTCTTAAAGCACATAGATAAATAGGAGGGAAAGGCTTGAAGTAAATTGAGTGAAGAGATTGTTCAGTTTTCCTAGAGAAAAAAAAATCATGGCTTTGTTACTGCTCTGTAGAGCTTCAGCAATGGGGATGAAATGATTTTTTATTTTATTATTATTTTTTAGAGACATGGTCTTGCCATTTGCCCAGGCTGGTCTGGAACTCCTGAGCTCAAGAGATCTGCCCACCTTGACCTCCAAAAGTGCTGGGATGACAGGTGTAAGCTTCTATGCCTGTGTGGGACACAATGATTAAGGAGAAGAGTGAACCCAGACGTGGACCACACCGTGAAGGTTAGATCCTGGGTTCTGACACCAGAGGAAAAGGAAAGAGGAGATAGAGAGCTACCTTTTTTCTTCAGACAGTTTAAATTTCCGTACAAATATATCACGGTTCTCTAAAAGTAGGTACTGGAGGCCACATTTAAAAATACTCATTATTTGACAGATTTCTGACTTATACCATTTGAGCCTTTTTGGGGGAAAAAGCATAAAGGAAAAGGAAGCAGAGTAAATTGTGACATGCACCTTACTGTGAGCCAGCAAGGCTGGACACAAAACAGAGACATCACCTTAAACTCTGCCAGTCACAGATGTACTTCCTGCTGCCATTTTCATCAGGCTTATTCCATTTCTTGGAAAAAAATCTCTTAATTAATAACGGGAAGCAGAAAAAAAAATCTCTTAATTAATAACTGGAAGAGGGTAGCAACTTAAGGGCACAAGTAATTAACATTACCTGCTGAAAACAGGCCTGGACAAGATTCTCAGGGAACATATTCCTGTTGGAGACATGAAAGGCAGTATTATGTAGGGCAAACAGTATTGTTTTGTCATACCTAATATATTGGTGGAAATGAGTATAATATAAAATTAACACTCTGGTTTCTCTTCTGGCCTCTCCTTTTCCTAATACTTCCTTGTTTTAAGATTTCTTTTTTCCTGCTGTGCTTCACCCAAGTATAGAAAGCCCTTCTAATCAACCATTGAGGAGGTTGTATAGAAAGCTCTCCCAATCAACCATCACTTAACTGATTCACTGAGTAACTGACATGCTTGCTCTGCTTGGTGAAATGGATACTCACAGTTAAGAGACTATTTGTTCTTTAATATTCTGAACATTTCTGTTTTCATCAATGAGGATGTGTACTTACTGATATGATTTGGCTCTGTGTCCCCACCCACATCTCAGGTCAAACTGTAATCCCCACATGCCAGGGGAGGGGCCTCATGGGAGGTGATTGGATCGTGGAGGGCAGTTTCTCCAATGCTATTCTCGTGATCATGATTGAGTTCTCACGAGATCTGGTTGTTTGAAAGTGAGTGGTACTTGTTCCTTCGCCTCACTCTCTCTCCTGCAGCCACGTAAGATGTGCCTTGCTTCCCCTTTGCCTTCTGCCATGATTGTAAGTTTCTTGGGGCCTCCCCAGTCGTGTGGAACTGTAAGTCAATTAAACCTCTTTTCTATATAAATTACCAAGTCCCAGCTAGTTCTTTATAGCAGTGTGAAAACAGACTAATACACTTACCAAGAGTTCATTGTATTTGTTCCCAAATTCTTTATACCAGTTGCAAATATCATCATAATTACTGAATTACATATTATATCAACCAATAAAATATGAACATAAAAAGGAAGGTATGGTTTCTAAAACTAAGTTGCATGCCTGGAAACTCAATAAAAGCCAATGACTAATATGTTTATGGTTAGATTAGTTATGGGGAGATTATAGAAATAAAAAGAAAAACTGGAAAGATTTACACTCAGCTTTCTTTGCAATGTCTAAATATTTTGGTGCTCTCTTCTATACAAACTTTTATAAATTGCAGATGATGCATTTATAAGGGCTGTATATGCAATAGAAACGGTATGAAATTACCATGAGGTGACAAACTTGAAGAAAAGACCTTGGTCTTATGTCAAAAAATTGGTGAATATATTCATTAAGTTTTAAGTGAAAACAAAATATGTAACATGTATCTTATATCATTTTTTATGAATGTCTGCTTTAACTGGTATTTTTTTATTGACTGACCTATTTACAGCTCTGGTAGCTTTAGATAAGAAGGTTTCTCCTGTACAATTTAAAAATGTATTTTTCTAAGGGTGCTCCAGAACTGACTACCAATCCATCCCAGCATCTCTCTGCAACATGCATCTGCATCTCTCTTCATTCTAAATCCTGACATAGAAGCCTGTTTCTGTCCTTCCCTCTTGGAACCAAAACTTGGCAAGCAGTATTGGCTATGTAATTTGTGAGTTCCTGGACAAAATGAAAGTACAAAATAATTTAAAAATTATTAAAAATTTCAATACAGGAACAGCAGAACATTAAACCACGCACAAGGCCTTGTGCTACTATAGGGTCGCAGGCCCTTGAAGCCATCTGTGGCAAGACACTTACCTGATGAGGTCTAACATGGCATCTACTGTACTGACTTCAGGGGTGCTGCCTGTCCTCTCGATTTCAGTCACCTTCTGGGTGACACCAGGCTTGATGCTTACCACCAGCACAATACCTGTGGCCAAGGACAGTGTCCACAGAGCATTAGGAACCTTCCAGTGCACCTGGCACACCTAGCACCTTTAGAACAGTGGGCATGGTTGTACCAGACAATACTGTGATGGGGAGGACCCTGAGGTCCAGCCAAAATGCTGAAAATGCTGAGCCTCCTCTGGAACTTCAGCAGCTACCTTAATTACTCTTCCATTTAAATGAGTAAACAGAAGGAACTCCATATGTGTGTGTGTGTGTGTGTGTGTGTGTGTGTGTGTGCGCGCACGCGCTTCTGGAAACACCTGCTGATGAGAATATTCTTTTTCTTGAACTTATGAGATCAGTCTCGGAAGGTGTTAGGGTAGGGATGATCCATTTTCCAGCCCAGAGAATGCATCGATGTCTTTCTGCAACTTTTATCCACAGATGCTACAAAACAAACCTTGCCTTCCTTCCATACCATAGGTCTTCAAGTATCTAGAAAGGAGCCATGTGGGAAAATGTTGTTCCAGGGGTGGAATGAGGACAAATAGATGGAAGTTATAGGGAGAGAAGGTTCATCTCACTGTAAGGAAGAACTGTCTACATGACAGAGCATCTGACAGCACCATTGTGGCCGTGGGAAGTAATGGGTTCCTGTCACTTGAGTGTCCAAGCCAAGGTGGGAGGAAAAGAGACCAAAGCATTGGAGGGTGTTTGACAGCAGGGAAGTGAAGAAGAAAAAGGACCTCATGTTCTTTATTGCTCCTCCCTCAAGAGGAGGCAATGCTAATCCAAGGGGTATAGGGCTCTGGGATGCTGAATGGGTCCATTTTGCTAGTGGGAGGAGTCACAGGGCAGTAAGGGACCATGAGTGGACATGGCCCACTATTCTCCTCTCTCAAGGTTCTAGAAGGGATGTACACCTCCAGCTAATAAGAGAGCAGTATATTGCTTCTTACTGCTACATTTTCTCTGTGTCTGTCTTCCTCAGCAAACTCATGAGATGTGATTTTGTTTTATGGCAGAGTTCAGGCCCCCGTGGGTCCCTTAGCCTAATACCACTGAAGCCTCACCACATCCCACCCCTTCTTATCAGCTCATTAAAGCAGAGCTACAAGGGCCGAGCTGCTGCCACATCTGAGTACATGCTCTTTCTGTCTTCCCATTCCGGGCATTCTTCTTAAAATGTCACACAGGGTTACAAAGACTAAGCATTTTTCAAGACACCATGCTAAAGGTATAAGAAAAGCTGCTCCCTTATTAGAATTTTGTTCCTGGGGTTTATCCTTAGCAAGGCTCTATTAGCTGTTAGCTCTTGTTACTGTGTGAAATGCACTAAAATGCTATATTTCTGGAAATATTTTATAAGTATACTCAACTCCACTATTAGAGAGTAATTATCCACTTTAAGAATTATATAAATGGCCAGGTGCAGTGACTCACACCTGTAATCCCAGTACTTTGGGAGGCCAAGGCGGGAGGATCACCTGAGGTCAGGGATTCGAGAACAGCCTGGCCAACATGGCAAAACCTCATCTCTACTAAAAAAACCCAAAAATTAGCTGGGCATGGTGGTGTGCACCTATAATCCCAGCTACTCGGGCGGCTGAGGCAGGAGAATCGTCTGCACCCAGGAGGCAGAGGTTGCAGTGAGCTGAGATCGTGCCATTGCACTACAGCCTGGGTGATAAGAGTGAGACTCCATCTCAAAAAAAAAAAAAAAAAAAAAGAACTACATGGCTTCCTTTCCTTCTACCTAGTGATCCTGACAAGGCATAGACCTGTTACCCTCTTTCTGTTTTTCACTTGAAACTTTAATAAGTAGCACCATGGCTCAAATACAGCCAGCATTACATTCATCACATGAAAGGTACCATGCAGACAGACTTCAAAGGAAAAAGCTTCATGGTACTTTGACAATACTACTTTCTGATTTTAAAAAATTGTGTGTTAGAAAAAGCCCAACTGCTTTTTAAAAAATATATTTTTCTAAATTATAAAGAGATTTGGGGGTCTTGCTATGTTGCCCAGGCTGGTCTTGAACTTGGGGATCTGCCTGCCTCAGCCTCCCAAAGTGCTGAGATTATAGGCATGAGCCACTGTGTCCAGCCATAACTACTTTTTTTTTTTTTTTTCAAGAGGGAGTCTCGCTCTGTCACCCAGGCTAGAGTGCAGTGGTGTGATCTCAGCTCGCTGCAACCTCTGCCTCCCAGGTTCAAGCGATTCTCCTGCCTCAGACTCTCAAGTAGCTGGGACTAGAGGCACATGCTACCATGCCCAGCTAATATTTTTGTATTTTTAGTAGAGACAGCTTTTCACCATGTTGGCAAGGCTAGTCTCAAACCCCTGACCTCAAGGGATCCTCTGCCCACCTCAGCCTCCTAGAGTGCTGGGATTACAGGTCTGAGCCACCGCATATGGCTGCCAACTACTTTTTGAACGAAAAAAAAAAATCACCATTATTACAGTAATAAGGATTCAGAAACAAATTTTACCTAGAACTACAGCAATGACAGTGGTACAGAAATAATACACAACAGCACGTAGACCAATTTTTCCAGATACATTGGAATCCAGTGCAGCAACACCTGAAGGGGGAGACAGAAATGAAATCACTTTAATTTTAAAAGACTGGTTTTCAGGACTGGCGATTTAATCCTCAGGGTGTGAAATAAAGAGCTGAGGGATATTCTCTGCAGCTACCAGACAATGGGCAACAACATGCAATGGGCAAAGGCAACACTTGAAAGTTCCAAACACAGAGTTAAGAGAGGAAAGCCCAGTGAGGTGCAAGTCCCTCTGCAGGCAGCTTCCCACAGCCTTAGCCTACAGGAGAGCCCTGCCTTCAGATCTTCCTAGAGTTGGTCAGGAAATAGTCATAAGGAGACCCCCTTCTGCATTTGCACTAAGAACCTTACTAAGATTTGTATTATGTCATTCAGATCCCTTATGGTAACCCTCTTTTGGAATTCAGTTACCGAGGAAAAGTTTATCTTGAAGAACTGAGACAGTCTGTTGTTGTTGTTGTCGTTTTGAGACAGAGTCTTACTCTGTTGCCCAGGCTGGAATGCAGTGACATGATCTCGGCTTACTGCAACCTCTGCCTCCCAGGTTCAAGCAATTCTCCTGCCTCAGCTTCCTGAGTAGCTGGGATTACAGGTGCGCGCCACCACACCTGGCTAATTTTTATATTTTTTGTAGAGATGAGGTTTCACCATGTGGGCCAGGCTTGTCTTGAACTGCTGACTTCAGGTGATCTGCCACCTCAGCCTCCCAAATTGCTGAGATTACAGGTGTAAGCCATCATGCCCAGCTTGAGAGAGTTTTTTTTTTTTTTTTTTTTTTAAACACTTAATGAGAATCATGTAACTCATAATAGTTTTCCTTTCTGTCTTTTCTATCAGGAAGCTCAGATGCAACTGAAAAAATAATGTTTATATACGATTGTAAAAGTAATATATATTCATTACAACTATCTGAAAATAGGAGAAAAGGTAAAGATGAAAATAAAAAACACATCATTTCAACAACCAAGTTAATATTCTGGTGAATTTTCTTCTAATATTTTTCTCAATTTTTTGTAAATAACGGAGAGAATTTTATAGTTTTTAACCCCCTCTCTTCTTAATATTGTAGTTGTAAGCATTTTCCCTCATTGTTACAAACTCACCCTTGCTCAATAATCTGTCATGTGGCTGTACCAGAATGTATTTAATGATACACTTACTGCTGGATCTTTAAATGATCCCGGGGCCAAATTCACAGTAATGTCATTATGCATTATAGCTAGCGTGTTTCCTTCCTCTTTTCATGATTTTCAAATTGCTTCTACGTGAAAAACCTTATTATGTGTAGCTTTTATTGTGAGACATCTTAAAATTTCCATTTGAAAGAGGAAGGATATAAATAAATAATTTCCCAGAGCACAGGTAATGTCAGAGACTTACAATCATATTGTTAGATCTTGCTTCAAATGGTCCTTGGCTACCAATAAGGTGACTAAGTATTGCCCACATTTGAAAGAGCTGTCTGGAATGTCAAGGACAACTGGATTTGAGGTGGAAGGCAGGCATCCCTCCTTGCCAGAAACCCTTGCTGTCTATCACAGATGCTCATATAAATGGAGTCAAATGCCATTGTTTTCAACTGGACTTGGACATGGGAAATGGGCCAAGTTGAGAAGCAACTGAATCATTTTTCAGCAAGCTGTCATTGGATTTCAGACACTACCCAGCCTGATTTCCAAAATGACGGTCATATTTCGAGTCAAAGGATCATCACAGAAAATTATTTTTGCATCTTCAACACACATAAGTTGTCCCATAACCATTTTCAAAGACTAAAAGTACAGGGTAGCAGGAAAAAGGAAGAGGTTGTCAGAAGGTAACCCCAAGGGAAAGGTAGTAAACCTGTATGCCTATCAGCGTGCACAGGTAGCTTTTTTATTCATTTCCCACACTATAAAAGGCATATCCATTTTTTTTAAGTGACTAGGGATTATGCTTCTCATATATAATCAAACATATTTGACGTACAGGAAAAAAATCTGCAAGGAAGTGATCATCATTATGATGACAGAACAAGTCATTTCTCACTCTAAACACACCATTTCCCTGGTGTGTTGATTGCTCCTTTGGAAGTTAATATTTTGAGAGACGGTACTCTGGCAGCTACCCCAGGATGTTGTTAAGGGGCCATTTGCCAACTTCTGGGAAAAAATTGTGCAATTGCCATATAATGGGCATACTGCAATAGTCACATTCTAGAATAACCTTGATGGATTCTATTCATTTTGAGAAAAATGCAGTTGGCTGTGCTGAAGAAACTTTCTTTTCCTCACAGTAAGACGATGAAAGATAACAATCAGGCAACGAACAACAGCAACAACAAAAAAGTCAAGAGGGATTGAAGGCCAAAATTCAGAAACAAATTCACTATCTCATATTTAGTTTAGGTCTCTTAAAGAAAGAGCAAATCATTATGCAAATATGTAAGCTTGCTAAGTATATTATATAATTTAAAATATATGCCTATTTCATTTTAGAGTTCAGTACATTATTTTGATAACTATAATAATTATTTCTAACAATAATCATAGGTTAAGTCACCACCTTAACAGACTCCAAGTAACTCACATAACTACCTGTAACCCTAACATGGGATCTATTTCTGGATATAACGTCTTTCTTTGGTAGATGCCCAATTTAAGCAGATTCCAGCCCCTAAAGTGCGGTCAAGTGAGAGTCACAGAGTGGGTACAGAACTGTTCTTGGCTATGTGTTTGGTGCCCTCTCAGGATTTTCTTCCAGCAGTGAAACAAATTAAATCTATATGGGTAATTGTTTCTAGCATATGTTAATATGTCTTAATTTTTCTTAATGATTTGGCCGTGGGCTGGTGCCTCTGCTTGTATTCCAGGACTCAGCTGGCAATAAAAGGTGATAATAATGAGATCCCTGGTGGAAATACCTTAAATAATACATCCCCAAGTAGTCATCCAATTTCCCCTCTGTCCTGGAGCACAGCAACTATCTTGTAATAACTTTCAGCAAGGGCCTTTGTTTCCCATTCCTCTAATCTGCCTCCATCCTATCATTTTCCTAGATATATCGGAAATGTACTCAAATCAACAATTATACTTCTCTACACTGTATAGTTACCCCTCTACCTCTCTAGTCATCACTGATGGGGGCAGAGCTGGCCCCCCAAATCCAGGCTCTTAGATGATTTATTGTGTTGTTGGGGATATGGGTGGTGACCACGGTAAAGGGAGAGAAGAAATACAGGCAAACAGCCGAATCTTTGAAAACCTCTATAAATAGGAACATTACAGAACTTAATGACCATAAAATGTCTGTGTGGATGGTTATAAACACCCCACCTGCCAGTAATGTCAATAATGATGAGAATGATCATTATAATACAAATAACGATAATGATCACAATAGACATCATATTGAGCAATGACTTCATGTTAATGCATCATCTTTAATTCTCATTATAACCCAAAGAGGCTGGCATTATTACCCCTGTTTTACAGAGGACAAAACTGTAGCTCAGAAAGGCTAAGTACCATATGATCATAAAGCTGGCGAGGTGAGTGGTATTGCTGGGATCCCAATCTACGTTTGACCTCAAAGGCCATATTCCTAACCACTGTTCCATATTGGCTGTATCTATGTGCTGCAAAATTCTAGACCAGCACTGTCCAGTAGAGCTTCCTGATAGAAATGTTCTATTTTTGTGCTGTCCCCTGCAGTAGCCACAAAGTAACACGTGGCTAGCAAGCACTTGGAAAGTGGCTAGTGTGACTGACTTTTCATTTTATTTCATTTTAATTAATCTCAATTTATTTTTCTTTTAGTTTTAGAGATGAGGTCTCACTATGTTGCCCAAGCTGGTCTTGAACTCCTGAGCTCAAGTGATCCTCCCACCTTGACCTCCCAAAGTGTTAGGATTATAGGTGTGAGTCACCATACCTGGCCAATTTTAATTAATCTCAATTTAAGTAGCCACACATGGCTAATGGCTATCATATTGGACTGCCCAATCTCTCTAGACCCTACCAGTGTTTCGTGTTTCATGGATGCTCAACATGTTGAATGAGCCAACTATAGCTTAACTCCCTTACCAGATTTGGGAAAAGCTCTTTGCCTCGCAAACATGGGCAGAGGAAAGGAAAACACTAAGCCCAAATCTCCTGGCAAGTAGTTCCATCACAGTGCTGACCATATAGCTCTAAGACCTGAAGCTTATTCTTAACTGGGTCCCCAGTGCATTAAGTAAAGTTCTCCGTGAATGTTTGTACTTGAAGCTTTCCACATGACAGAAAGAGCTGCATTTTTACAAGTAATCCTTCCCTTACAAATGACTCCACTTCAAAGATCCACTTGTGGGTTCAAAGCTTGGAACTCAGCATGTAGTCTCCTTAGAAACCACTTGTACATGGTGGTTTAGTTTGGCTCCCAGGGCAGCCAAGGAGAACACTTTTCAGCCATAAAAGACTTCATGAGAACATATGTAGCATCTCAGAGTTTTTCAACCTTGTTTTGTTGTCATTACTGTTGTGCAAACCCTGCCCCTCTAAGCCTTTTTCCTAATCACCACCCCTGTGAAATTCTAAAACCACAAACTGTGTATCTGGTTATACAGTAGATGATACATGTGTTGTTGTTGTTGTTTTTACATAAAAAGAGTAAGATTTTCTCCCCAAACCCACCACCACCAAATAAAAACAGCTTTTGCTGCTTTGGAGACGATATTGTCTTGGTGAGAACTTGTGCTCTAGCTCAATGAATGTTGACTGTGAGAATGATAATCCAGGCATTAGACTATAACTGGTGGGACGTCAGACAGCTGGCCCACCCTAGTCCCAAACAAGTAAACCATTTGTGCTTTATTTCTGAGTTTTTACTCCCAATGGCCACCTGGGTTTCTTGCTCTCAGGCCATCTTTGGTGGCTGGCAAGGTCTAGAGGACCCCCTCTCTTTACAGTTCACTATCAGAACTCATTTCTCCAGGGAGCTGAAAGCTGTCCTATGGGAGGTGATAAATGAGAGGAAACTAAGCAGTTGTGATGGCATCTGCA